ACTTTTTGTAGACTGATTTTGGTTCATATAAAACTTGTTTACATTCGCTGTTCTCGCATTTTTATGCCAGCAATTAGCGTTCATGTAATTTTATAAAGTGGCTTATATGGGGGGTAGGGTGAATTACCGACACATTCCGCATGAAATTCGGAGCGAATTTCATAACCGTATTTCATAACTCATATTTTTAAGCCAGTAATGATCGTTTAAGAAATTTTCTAAAGGGGACCTTGTATGGGCGGTAGGGTAAATTATGGACCGATCCTCCCTAAATTTAGTGGAGAGATTTTGGCACGCATTAAACTTATGTGCGTCAATTTTCGTCACTACATTAATATTTTTAAGCCAGTAATGAGCAGTATAGTTATTTGCAGAGGGGGCCTTATATGGGGGAAGGGTCATTTATGGGCCGATCCAAACAAAATTGGTACCGAGATTTTGGCTCGTAAGAAACTTACGTGTGTAGCATTTCATCGCTTTACTCTTATTTTTAAGACAGTAATGAGCGTTAAAGCTATTTCCTGAAGTGGACCCAATAGGGGGAGAAGGGCCAATTATGGACCTATTAAAGTTATTAAAAAGATTTTGGCTCGCGAGGAACTTAATTGTGTAAAATTTTATTGCTATATTCGTATTTTTATACCCACCATCAAAAAAGATGGGGGGTATATTGATTTTGTCATTCCGTTTGTAACACATCGAAATATTGCTCATAGACCCATAAAAGTATATATATTCCGGGTCCTTATTAAATTCTAAGACGATCTAGCCATGTCCGTCCGTCTGTCCGTCTGTCCGTCCGTCCGTCCGTCTGTCTGTTGAAATCACGATAGGGACCACACGAGAGGAGCTAGGCAGTTGAAATTTTGCATAAATATTCTCTATTGTTAAGGTTTGTTTGGTATTGAAAATGGGCAATATCGGTCCACTTTTTCGGATAGCCCCCATACAAGTGGACCTCCAAAAAACAGCTTCAACGGGCATAACTGCTTCAGAAGTACAAGTATAGCGATGAAATTCGACATAAATAAGTTCCATATGAGCCAAAATCGTTCTACCAAATTTTTTCAGGATCGGCCCATAAATGACCCTACCCCCCATATAAGGTCCCCTTCTGAAAATGACTTTAACACTCATTACTGGCCACAAAATGCAAGTATAGCGATGAAATTCGACATAAATAAGTTTCATGTGAACCAAAATCATTTTACCAAATTTTTTGAGGATCGGTCCATAATTGACCCTACCCCTCATATAAGGTCCCCTTTAGAAAATTACTTTAACACTCATTACTAGGTCCAAAAATGCGAGTATAGCGATGAAATTCGGTATAAATAAGTTTCTTACGAACCGAAATCGCTCTACGAATTTTTTTTTAAGATCGGCCCATAAATGACCCTACCCCCCATATAAGGTCCCCCTTCTGAAAATGACTTTAACGCTAAAAAATACGAATATAGCAATAAAATTTTACACAATTAAGTTCCTCGCGAGCCAAAATCTTTTTAATAACTTTAATATGGATAGGTCCATAATTGGCCCTTCTCCCCCTATTGGGTCCACTTCAGGAAATAGCTTTAACGCTCATTACTGTCTTAAAAATAAGAGTAAAGCGATGAAATGCTACACACGTAAGTTTCTTACGAGCCAAAATCTCGGTACCAATTTTTTTTGGATCGGCCCATAAATGACCCTTCCCCCATATAAGGCCCCCTCTGCAAATAACTATACTGCTCATTACTGGCTTAAAAATATTAATGTAGTGACGAAAATTGACGCACATAAGTTTAATGCGTGCCAAAATCTCTCCACTAAATTTAGGGAGGATCGGTCCATAATTTACCCTACCGCCCATACAAGGTCCCCTTTAGAAAATTTCTTAAACGATCATTACTGGCTTAAAAATATGAGTTATGAAATATGGTTATGAAATTCGCTCCGAATTTCATGCGGAATGTGTCGGTAATTCACCCTACCCCCCATATAAGCCACTTTATAAAATTACATGAACGCTAATTGCTGGCATAAAAATGCGAGAACAGCGAATGTAAACAAGTTTTATATGAACCAAAATCAGTCTACAAAAAGATACACCACATATGAGATCCTCTTTAGAAAATTTGATGAAGAAAACTCTGATAATTACAAGTACAGTACAAAATATTAAAAATTAATATTTTGTTAGTTCAAAAGAGCTCGGTCCATAATTGTCTTAAGCTATATTCCAAAAATCACCCTGATGTTTATATGGGAGCATTCCTTTTACGGCATACGGTTTGATGGTGGGTATATGAGATTCGGCACAGCCGAATATAACACTCTTACTTGTTTAGCGTTAAAGTCATTTTCAGAAGGGGACCTTATATGGGGGGTAGGGTCATTTATGGGCCGATCTTAAAAAAAATTCGTAGAGCGATTTCGGTTCGTAAGAAACTTATTTATACCGAATTTCATCGCTATACTCGCATTTTTGGACCAGTAATGAGTGTTAAAGTAATTTTCTAAAGGGGACCTTATATGAGGGGTAGGGTCAATTATGGACCGATCCTCAAAAAATTTGGTAAAAAGATTTTGGCTCACATGAAACTTATTTATGTCGAATTTCATCGCTATACTTGCATTTTGTGGCCAGTAATGAGTGTTAAAGTCATTTTCAGAAGGGGACCTTATATGGGGGGTAGGGTCATTTATGGGCCGATCCTGAAAAAATTTGGTAGAAAGATTTTGGCTCATATGGAACTTATTTATGTCGAATTTCATCGCTATACTTGTACTTCTGAAGCAGTTATGCCCGTTGAAGCTGTTTTTTGGAGGTCCACTTGTATGGGGGCTATCCGAAAAAGTGGACCGATATTGCCCATTTTCAATACCAAACAAACCTTAACAATAGAGAATATTTATGTTTCCATCATTCCAAAACTGCATAGCGGCCAGACGGACCACGACAAGTTATTTTCCTTATCTTAGGGTCATGGCTTCGTTAAGGATTGACAAATTAGAATTTTTTTGACAGAACGGTGGTAATAGGTTGGTGTGGCTGTGCACGATCCAATTCCCGGACGGACGGACTTCGGTTCAGACTGAAACGGACATGGCTAGAATCGTCTTAGAATTTAATAATGACCCGGAATATATATTAACTTTTATGGGTTCATGACAATATTTCGATTGTGTTACAAACGGAATGACAAAACTCACAATATACCCCCCATCTTTTTGATGGTGGGTATAAAAAAAAACAAGTAAGAGTGTTATATTCGGCTGTGCCGAATCTCTATACCCACCATCAAACCGTATGCCGTAAAGGAATGCTCCCATATAAACATCAGGGTGTTGTTTGGAATATAGCTAAGACAATTATGGACCGAGCTCTTTTGAACTAACAAAATATTAATTTTAATATTTTGTACTGTACTTGTAATATCAGAGTTTTCTTCATCAAATTTTCTAAAGAGGATCTCATATGTGGTGTATGGTCAATTGTTGACCTATCCTCATAACTTTTTGTAGACTGATTTTGGTTCATATAAAACTTGTTTACATTCGCTGTTCTCGCATTTTTATGCCAGCAATTAGCGTTCATGTAATTTTATAAAGTGGCTTATATGGGGGGGTAGGGTGAATTACCGACACATTCCGCATGAAATTCGGAGCGAATTTCATAACCGTATTTCATAACTCATATTTTTAAGCCAGTAATGATCGTTAAGAAATTTTCTAAAGGGGACCTTGTATGGGCGGTAGGGTAAATTATGGACCGATCCTCCCTAAATTTAGTGGAGAGATTTTGGCACGCATTAAACTTATGTGCGTCAATTTTCGTCACTACATTAATATTTTTAAGCCAGTAATGAGCAGTATAGTTATTTGCAGAGGGGGCCTTATATGGGGGAAGGGTCATTTATGGGCCGATCCAAAAAAAATTGGTACCGAGATTTTGGCTCGTAAGAAACTTACGTGTGTAGCATTTCATCGCTTTACTCTTATTTTTAAGACAGTAATGAGCGTTAAAGCTATTTCCTGAAGTGGACCCAATAGGGGGAGAAGGGCCAATTATGGACCTATCCATATTAAAGTTATTAAAAAGATTTTGGCTCGCGAGGAACTTAATTGTGTAAAATTTTATTGCTATATTCGTATTTTTTAGCCAATAATGAGCGTTAAGTAAGTCATTTTCAGAAGGGGACCTTATATGGGGGGGTAGGGTCATTTATTTGCCGATCTTAAAAAAAAATTCGTAGAGTTCGTAAGAACTTATTTATACCGGAATTTCATCGCTATACTCGCATTTTTGGACCCAGTAATGAGTGTTAAAGTAATTTCCTAAAGGGGACCTTATATGAGGGGTAGGGTCAATTATGGACCGATCCTCAAAAAATTTGGTAATAAAGATTTTGGCTCACATGAAACTTATTTATGTCGAATTTCATCGCTATACTTGCATTTTGTGGCCAGAAAATGAGTGTTAAAGTCATTTTCAGAAGGGACCTTATATGGGGGGTAGGGTCATTTATGGGCCGATCCTGAAAAAATTTGGTAGAAAGATTTTGGCTCATATGGAACTTATTTATGTCGAATTTCATCGCTATACTTGTACTTCTGAAGCAGTTATGCCCGTTGAAGCTGTTTTTTGGAGGTCCACTTGTATGGGGGCTATCCGAAAAAGTGGACCGATATTGCCCATTTTCAATACCAAACAAACCTTACCAATAGAGAATATTTATGCAAAATTTCAACTGCCTAGCTCCTCTCGTGTGGTCCCTATCGTGATTTCAACAGACAGACGGACGGACGGACGGACGGACGGACAGACGGACAGACGGACGGACATGGCTAGATCGTCTTAGAATTTAATAAGGACTCGGAATATATATACTTTTATGGGTCTATGAGCAATATTTCGATGTGTTACAAACGGAATGACAAAATCAATATACCCCCATCTTTTTTGATGGTGGGTATAAATATAGATTAAAAAATACACCGTCGAAAGTTTCAATCAAAAATTATAGTAAGTGTCATAGTAAGAAGAAATAAATTAAATGCAGAAAAAATTATTAATTTTTGCTCAACGCTCGCAAGGCAACGACTCGATTCAAAATTAGCAAGTTAATCAAAATGTAAGTAATCTACCTCAAAATGAAACGCTTTTTCAAAACAACACCATCAACGAAGTAATGAATTGAAAATTAATTTAGCTAAAACTTCATATGCAATAAAAGAAGATTTTATTAAGTTTGAGGCAAAAATTCAAGATTCAGAAGAACATTTTGAGAAACTAGTATACCAGAATCAGTAGAAGATGATGTTACTAAACAGTTTTGTTGGCAAGGTTCCAAAGATAAATCGAGATAAAAAAAATTTCAACTATGTTAGCAGTTAAAGGTACCTATTTATTTAAATTTGATATTTTGGATGTGGGATTTTCGACTAAATTTACAAATATTTCAGTTGCTTACCGCCAAAAATTTGCCGATCACAGCGAATCACAATTTGAAAAAGTAGTTATAACGTTTTTCCAGCAAGCAAAAAATCGACACGGCAAAAAAAAACAAAGAAATCATTTTAATTTGTTGCAATATATTCTAAATGTTTCTAAACTTTACTTTACATTTTTACTTATAATTAATATTTGCAAACAATTAAAAGACTTGTTTACATACATATACACATGTATGTATATCATTACATTATTTTAAGTAAATTTATTAAAAATTTTAATATTTAAATTTACATATTTTTTTTAGTAATACTTTGTTGTTAACATAATTTTGTGTTACATAAATATATGAAATAATTTAAATATTAAAAAATCAAGTTAATTTTATTTAGCAGATTAGTAGAGTGGCATTAAAAATGCTTGAATATCACTGTTTTTTTTACTTGAATTACCTTATACTTCAAAGGTTTGAATTAAGCTATATTTCAAAGATGGAATTCAAGCATTTTTTCTATTTGAATTATAATTTAATTCAAGCCTTGAATTAAAGTGTAATAATACTAGAATGTTCGACTTGAATTCAAGTTTCCTTTTCATTGGAGAATGCTATTGAATTAAAGTGTAATGCAAGTGTATTTCAACCCTTGAAAATTGAATGTTTGACTGGAATTAAATTGATTTACACTTTAATTCCAGCAAAAATGCTTATTGGGTTCTTTCAGGAATGTGACTACCGTTAGCTATTGGGTATGTGCGGGTGTAATTTCTGGATTTGGACATATATAAGGTAAGTGAAACTGAATTTAAAGTGCTTAAAATTAAAAAAGTGCTTTGGCGAAAATAAAAGTGCTGTCAGGAATTTTTGGACAAAAAAAATTTTAAAAACACAGTGAGTGCAGAAAGTGCGCGGACGGACAAAAAAAAACGTGAAAACAAAAAAAATTTATAAAAGTGAAAAAAAGAATTGTTGCCGGTATGCAATAAAAATTTAAAAATTATTTTCCAGAAATTACAGTGGGGTATAAAAGTGAAATGTAAACAAAACTTAAAGTGTAAAATTAAAGAAAAAAAAAAAAACAAATGAATTTAAATGAAATTATGGTGTAAATCGGATTTGTGTCTGTGAAAAAAATACAAATGAAATCTACAGTGTGCGACAAAAGTGGAATAAAAAAAATTAAAGTGAAGAAAAATTGAAAATGAAAATAAAATTAAACTATTGTGCGATTGAATTGTTGACGGTGAATAAAAAAAAAAATAGAGTAAAAACTAACAACGGAATTACAGTGAAAAATAAAAGTGAATAAAAATGAAAGTGAAACTGAAAACTAAAGTGATGGAAAATTAAGCCGGTGTAAAAAAAAATTAATACAGTGGAGAACAAAAGTGATGTGACAAAAAAAAATACTTCTATGGTATTAAGCGAAAATTTTAACCGTGTGTGTAAAGAAACTGTGTGGTGTAAAATAAAACTAATTTTGGAAAATACAGTGGCGGATAAAAGTGTGAGTGATTGAAGTAAATAAAATAAATAAAACTATTGAACTGTGCTATGGTTGTGGTGTTGTGAAATAATTAAAAACTTAAATTTATTTACAGTATTGAGCAAATGTCAGATTTTGGTCAAAATGTAAAGAAAACTAATGTGAAAAAAAAGTAAATTAAATAACGAAAACGGGTGGTCGCAAAAAGTGTGCTGTGAATAAATGCATATAAGAAAACTAAAATTCTCAAAATAAAAGTGAAAAATAATGAAAAATTGACTAATAAAAGTTAATTCAGATTTTTTGTAAATTATAGTTTTAAAGTTTTATATCTTTTTTTTTTTAATATTTTTTTATAAAATTTTGAATTTTCTTTTTCTTTGAATATTATTTCTTATTTCTAATGCTTTTTTATATATTTTCTCTCTTTCCAGATTATTAATTCATTATGGGGAAACTAGATTAGAAGACATGGACTTCAATGAAGACTCAGGTAAGTCTTGTGTTAAAGAGCTAGGTGGGAAATGCAAGGACTAGATTCACCAAAGATTTCAGGATAAATCCTTCGATCTTTGGCGAGAAATACCCCTTGACATTTCCAAACAGTAATATAAAAACAAAATTAATTTACTAGTATAAGTGCTGTTAAGATTTGAAAAAGTCCTAAAGAAGCATTATAAAAGAGAAATGTTCTCCGACAAATTCATTATTTTTTCTTTTGGAATTTTTCTTTTCTCAACTAAAAAGGTATATATATTAATAATATTTTGTTTCATACAGGTTCTGTGGGAATTCAAATGCCTCGTGAAGGACGGACCCTATGATGCTAACTCAAAACAATACAGTGGAATTGGCAAGTATTATAAAATAATATCGAAAATTTAAATTTAAATTATTTGAATCTTAACTAAAGTCTTCCGAACTTTTCTTCAGATGGCAACAACTACAATAAAGAATCAAATGAGAGCAGATAATGAAGCAGATACTGAAGCAGATAATGGAGCAGATCATGAAGCAGATAATCCGGGTGAGTGTAAAGTTAAAATCGTAGAATAAATTAGTAAGTATGTTAAGTATACTGGACAGCTAGTTTAGGTAGTTTTATGTCGGACTCCATATGAACCTTTTCTTCTTATAATAAGTGCATAATTCGGTAGTAATAACAAAATAAAGTTTAGAAAAACTGCTCAGGATACAACAACAATTATACCAAACAGAAATTCACTGCGAGAGATAGATTTTCAATTAAGAACCAAACTCAAAGACTTTATTCAATTACAGTTACTTATCGAGTACCAATTAGATAAGGCTGACTACTAGACACGACAGACGAAAGACAAGCAGGAGAACATGTTGGGACTAGAACCACCAAAGATTCTAAAGCTATTGCTTTAAATCTTTGGCGTGAAAAACCCCCAACGATCTTCCCTGCATATCCTCGACCTCGTACAGACTGTTTCCGACTGGTCGTACAATTCGGCATTTTAGAAATTTCCGAGCGAATTTGGCATTGAAATTGTTTTTTGAAATCACTCTGCTGGAAGTTACGTCGGTAGACTCCTGACCGGAAATGAACTTAATTGGACGACACCGCGTGTTATACGATTTTTCGTTGCGAGCGTAAGCTTTGTGTAAATTTTCGCGAATTCTCTGCCGTATCAAATCCAATCTAGCAGCATTCGGAATGACGTTAGTTTCGGGATCGTTTAAGATTCTAAATTTGCGTGCCAACTGGTATACACTACCATAGCCAATCATATTCATTCCGAATAAAGCGAAGTAAGGCGTAACTCCTATAGACGACTGCACGGAAGACCTTAAGGAAAACTCAATTTCAGACAAATGTTTGTCCCATTCTGTGTGGTCTTCCAGCAGATACGACCTAACGGCTGCTAGAATGGACTGATTAACACGCTCGGACGCATTGGCTTGCGACGAGTGGATCGCGGTACGGACGTGTTTAATACCAAAATTTTTCATAACATCGGCAAATTCTTTGCTAATAAATTGCTTCCCGTTGTCAGAGACAATGGTCTCCGGCGTTCCAAATTTATGGAAAATTTCGGAAATTAAAAATTTCACAACGTTTTTAGTGTCGGCCTTCGGTAAAGCTTTTAAAAACACAAATTTGGTTAGGTGATCTAAGACGATAAAAATACAAATGTTGTTATTTTTAGATCGCGGGTACGGACCGAGAAAAATCGACAAAGATTCTTTGGAAAGGGCGTTCAGTTTGGACTTCGGCTCCCATCGGTGGTCTGAGCGTAGTGTTCGCGGGCATAGCTTCCTTGCAGGTTTGGCACATTCTTACGTAGTTTCTGATTTGGACATTTTGATTCGGCCAATAAAAATATTCTTTTACTCTATAAAGAGTCTTACCGACGACTCCATTAGACGCTTGAGGGGAATCATGACATGCTTTTATGATGTCCTCTGTCAGATCTAGCGGTACCCATAATTTCCACGCGAAATCTTCGTTCGTTGATATACCGTCGTAAGGTTTAGTGCGTTTATAGACGAATTGTTCGGCATTTTTCTCGACTGTGTCTATAAGGTTACGATAATCTTCTGACCGGAAAAAACTGAAGTTAGATCGATCAACTTAGGTATGTTTAACGAGATTTCGTCCATATCATAGCTTGATAGGGTATCGGGTACAACGTTTTGCTTCCCCTGCCCATGCTCAATCGTAAAATCATACGCCTGTAGATGTAGACTCCACCTCGCCAAACGACCAGTCAAATCTTTATAGCTCATCAGCTACTTTAGGCTACTATGATCCGTAATGACGGTAAATGGCATTAACTCTATATAGGGTCTAAACTTCTTAATCGCCAGAACTACAGCTAAACATTCACGTTCAGTTACAGAATAGTTTTTCTGCGCTGATCTTAGTTTATGCGAAAAATAGGCAATTGGGTGCTCTCCGTCGGAATCATCCTTCTGGAAAAGCACTGCCCCAATGACTACATCAGACGCATCGCACTGAACGTAGAAATGTTTGCTGAAATCCGGGTGATTAAGCAGTGGACTCGAAATCAGAGCTTCCTTTAGACGATCAAAAGCAGCTTTAGCTTCCTCCGTAAACTTGAATTGCTTGCCCTTTTTCAGCGTTTCAAAGATTGGGGCCGCAATGGTTGTATTGTCTGGTATGAATTTTCGATACCAGCCTGTTGCTCCCATGAAGCTCCGCACCTGTTTTGCTGACTTAGGATAAGCAAAACGAGTTATAGTCTCCACCTACTATGTAACCCAGATACCTTAGCTCTTTGAAACAGAATTTAGATTTAGCCACATTGATGGTCAGACCTGCATTTGCTAAACAGATAGATACTCGTTTCAGCAATTCCAGATGTATCTCGAAATCTGGAGATACAATCAAAACCCAAAAGGCATAACCGTAAAATGATAAAGTGGTCGTCCTGGCACCGTAAATGCGGTTCTCTCTTTACTAGACGATTCTAGTGGTATCTGCCGGAACGCGTCTTTAAGGTCGACACTAGAGATATATATCGTGTCTCCCAAACGACTGAGCAAACCTTCAATGTGCGGCAATGGATAGGCATCCTTGACTGACCGCCTATTATTATTCTATTTTCTGACCGCCTATCTGTAACCGGGTATATAATCGTGAGTCTTCAC